CAATGCAATATGATATTATTCTGTATTTAGGGTGAGGCTGATAAATAATATGGTTTTTATTAAATAATATTTTTGAACTTCCAAATATATCCAAATATCTGGTATTCTTGTTAATTAACGCCTACTTTGGCCTTGCTCCATCTCTAGATTTGCAGACCTTCGTTCGCTGTTGCTGCTATTTTCTGCAGGTTTTTTCCAGCTATTCTCCTTTAAATTAAAAATTTTGTTTTTTCAGTTGTGTGTTGTGTTGGGTTTCCTCCTGTCCGGCCTTCTTCCTTTCCCTCGCCAAGGCCCATTTTTGAGCGCGCGAAATTGTATCATTTCCTCGGAAAAAAACATCTTTTTTTTGCCATTTTATCCTGTGTTGGTTTTATTTTAAGGCTAATTAGTTCGCCGGTGCCACTTGGCCTGAAAGTTTCCTGTCACTTGCAGTGGCAAAAGGCGTTGCCAATTAGGTCTCGCTGCTTCTGCGGACAGACAGCTTTGACCTTGGCGCTGTCGATTGGCTCGGGGAGTTTTCGCTGTGTGTGCGAGGACCCGGGGCCTCCAAATGAGCTGGAAATTAAAAGCGTGCCGAACCAGAGTTTGGGCCAAGATGTGTGTCAGCTCGTGGCTAATGAAATCCGCTTTAAAGTGGGGTACATTTCTAAAAAGTTTAGTTCTCTTTGAGTTTCAGGTTCCTAAGACCCAGAGTTTAATTGCTTTATTCCGGCATAAAAAGCACAATAAATGATTGGGATTTTTTATTATTTTAAAGAAGTAGTAAAAAAAATCAAAGCCTTCTTCCTGGTTTGGATTTCTGTGTAATCTAGGAGATTGGTTTTAGCAATACCAAGCAAACGGAACCACATCGATCAACTGCTCCATCTCCACTCCCAAATTCCCCCCGCAGATTTACAATAGCTTCGCTGCTTCTTCTTCCTTATGACAGCGTAACCCGATCTAATTTTCATGTTGTTTGATAGAAAAGTCTTGTTTTGCAGTCGCTACAAGGCAGGAATTTATCACACAGCGCTGAAGAAGGAACGGTGGTTGCATCAGGCATCTGCACTCCCTCGACATTCGATGTTGCAGTCTCCGGCCTCCGACACTCTTGCCTGTTTAAATATTATCAAAAATTGTGTATCTCGGGGCTCGGAAGCTTCCTGATTCTGTCGGGGCTTGTTGGATCGGCTGGGCATAGCAAACATGCTCGCAGTTGTTGCCGCAGGGACGCTTGACTGGCGATCGTAGGAACAAGAAAGGAGAACTTTAAGCCCAAGATACTCCGAAGTTTTAGATACACTGCTGTGATTTTCATCGAACATAATACAATAGATAATAATTTATATTAATTCCTAACAGTGCGGACACCTGAGATGATTTATTATTAAAGATTCAAAAATTATAGAAATGTTAATATATGATATTTTAGAAATAAATACAGGGAATTACAAAGACTAAGTATACAGCATTCAAAATTTAAATCCATCTTTTATGTTTCAACCTCAACTAATGATCTTTACTTTACAGATTTAAAAAAAACAATAGTATTAAATTATTTTTAAATTGTAAATCAAAATTTGCCATATACCTTTGGTTCATGGGATAGTAAAAATACTTTATTAATGGGTATGACAACTGCAAAATCCACAACTGTTGCTGCTTGAGGTTGCTGCTGTTGTTGCTGTGGTGCTGTTCGAGATTAAACAATGATTGCATTTTCATTTGCATTTTAAGTCACGGTGCAAGCAAAGCAAAGCAAGGCATAAGAAGTCAGAGGGGTCGAGATCTCACTTGGCAAGTGATGTTGTTGCTGCCAACTGGCAACAGCAACTGCAACTGCAACATCAGCAACAGCAGCTGTTTCTGCGGTGGCTTCCCCCTTTTAGCAAACAGGTTTCCCTGCGCCGAAACTAAACACATGCCGCCAAGATTGAAATGCAAATCAGTTAATGTTTCTGGGGCCACTCAGAAATCCTTGGCGAGTGGAGCCGAGTAAATGTGCCCTTTGTAGGCTGCACTACGACCAAATGTTCAAAATGTCAGCTTGACGTAGAAAATATGTAACTAATAAAAATATATATAAACAAGAATAACTATTTTCGTGGGTTAATTTCACTAATACATTTTATTATAAAGCCAAGAAAAGATTTTTCTCGTTTTCTGGGTCTCTACCAGGTCCGTCCTGTCCATCAGGTGTTTTAGCCATTAGATAATCCATTGACTCAGGAGTTGTTTTCGATGCTGTTACAATAATGTTACAATAAAGGCAACCAGAGCTGCCAGCAAGCTTTGGCTAATAGAGCCTATAACAATTTTTTGTAAAAGTCCCATGTTGTTTAAACTGCTGTAAAGTGACTTGTTGATCCGGACTAATAGAGCGACTGGAAGACTCAGAGCGCGAATTTATACTGCTCGCTTTTTCCCAAACTTACCCCGTTTTATATGCAAAATTTATGTTTTGATGTTTTTAAACAAATACAAACTTCTTTGGAATCTGAGTCATGACTTGGTCATCATAACCATAGAAAAGAAAGCCGATCCTAAACCATTTGTTTTTACATTTTGTACAATCATAAAATGAACACTGATTTTCGCTTTAAAAATAAAATCAAGTTGTTTATGATTTTTGCCAAATGTTAGTCACTTTTGTTTTTATAACTATTTCTGTTTTTTTGTAAGAATTATTTTATCAATTTCACATTGCATATCTTTGAATCCTAGGAAAAAGTACGACATTTGTATACACCACAAATAATTTGTGTAGCTTTTTATAAGAAAATAATAATATTAATTTCACAATGAAAAATTTTAAATTTGAAATCGAAATTGTCCATTGATTTTACAGATATGACTGGTGTATCACTATGGGTCTTCTGGCCCGATGAAATACGAAGCTTGCTGTTATTATATAATTTGCTAAGCCTCGGGGCCTCATCCCATAGTCCTTTTTCCAGGCCATAACTCAAGGACAAACAAATACCGGACCCTAATGCCATCGAGGCTCCGGCTCATAAAAATGAAAATTTGTGCGACAGATTTTTTGCGAGGGACTAATCTTGGACAACAGCTGCTAGGGGTCATTTCGCCCTCAGCGAGTGTCCTGTGTCCACTCATCTCGATTACGAGGTGTAAATTTACTGACGCACATAAAGCCATTTGGCCGACTTCTCCCGGCTCCGTTCTCCATTCTCGGCTCCCTAATCCCCGGCAGCTCAAAATCCAATTCATATATTTACCGCTCGCCGAGGGGAGACATTGGCATTATGAGCGTTAAGCTTTCCTGGCCATTTTACGCTTCGGCTGGGGGTAAAGCTTTATAAATTTTGATGATATGTGTGTGTGGATTGGCGCTCATTTGTGCCCGGCTTCGTGGCTCAACGTGTTGCCGCTTAATGTGCGGGATTTGCTGGACTTTGCACTGGATGGTTGCGGAATGGGATGCTGAAGGGTCCTTGAAACCCAAAACAGTTGACGGTGCAAAGGGTTAAACGACGGCAGAAGTAAAAACGACACAGCTGGACAGTTTTAAGGTGCGGTTTATAGCTGACTAAAGAAATAAATAGATTTTTATGATGATTTAAATGGTTTTAAAATGTTTAGCAAACACTTTAACAATTATTAATAATTTTGTTAACTTATAAACCAAAAAAAACCAATTTAAGCACCCATTCAAATGTATATGATTTTATTCTTCGATTTTTTTGTCACTCCAGATATTGTGTTTTAAAAGGAAAGGTTTTATTATTATTATTTATTATTTTTAGGGAAGAATAAAATTTATTAATATTTAAAAGATACTATATGCCATGGGCTATAAATTGTTTCTATCAATCGAAGAAAATTCCCCGAGTATGTCATAATCTCTTTTCACTTTCGCTGAAACGAGATTCTCGAGAGATCAGCACCACTTCTCCACCGCCGTTTTACCCACAAAGCCACCCATTGAGCCACTCTTGTTGTCTTGGCTCCTCGAAAAAGATTGCAGCATTAACACTTACTGCACACGTCCTCGACCAGCACTCCCGCCACCCTCCTCTGAACCACCGTCGGCAACCTTTGCCCTCCAGCACCACACATTGTGATATGAGCCAGCTCCAGCTCCTCCATCATCATCATCATCATCGGCATCATCAACGCCCGGCATCATCTGCGGCCTTTATCAATTCACCTTCTTCTGGTGGATTGTTCCTTCAGTGGGCCTCCTCTGCTGGCTGTTTACATAACCGAGGCGGCATGCCACTTTAGTGGGCGTGCCACAAAAGGTAAGAGAAAAATGTATTATGAAAATAAGAAAAAATTGTCTTAAAATTAATGCACGACCGGTAGAAGAGGCTGTGCTGCGCTGCACTAAGTAAACTGGCCTTTCATCGCGTTTTCGGCCATATATTTCCATTCGCCAGCCACCAATGTCGATCATCGGGTCCAAGATGCCGGTGTAGATTTTTCGAACCCATAATTACCGGCCTGTGTGCGCAAATATATACATATAGATACGTATAGGTGTATATAGAAAATTGTTGAGGGCAGGCGTGCGGAGATCTAGCCACGTTTTCTGGCAGATCCGAGCATGATTTAAAGGGCAGACGGCCCAGTCCTCAGTCCTGTCTGTTGGCTCTGTTGTTGAAAGTGATTGTACTTTATAGATTGCGAGCCTTTGTTGACTCGCATTCTGCAGTGGTTGTGGTCTTTGCATTTGCCATCGTTGTGCAACGTGTAAGACATGTTTGCCTTAGAAGCCGCCACTCTGGTGGCTTTTGGCCACGGGGAGCAGAAAGTGGCAGATGCCTTGGGAAAACGAGGGGGATGGAAAGGGGGCTGAGTCATGCATGACAGCGAGCTGGAATCCGGAGGAGGGCAAAAAATTAGTTTGAAATGCAGGTCGGTAACAGAGGAAGTTCACGAACTAAAATAACAATAAAAACAATTTCAGTCACAGCTTAAAAAAATGTATTTATTCACTTAGCAATAAACATTTTTAAAATCGAAAAAACAAAACATTTTTCTAAAAATGGATTAAATAAAAAAATTCAATTGTAATCGAGCTCCATGTTTTTTACAATCCAGTTCCTAAATGGAAAGATGCTCGTGAATAACAGCATGCTGAGATTGGAAGGGTGACCAAGTAGTTCCACGCTGCCTGGTAAACCGACAAGGTAGAAGTTCCGGGGTTTTCCATCCACCACTTCGATGCCCATTAGCGGTGATCCGAAATAAAGGGTATTCTCCTCTTTCCCAAGGGCACAAATGTGATGCTGCGTCCGATTTGGCCAGTTATTTCCCCCTAAAGAGCGGCAGAACTCCATACTTGCCGTGTGCACCTGCACCTTCCTCCGCCACTCGCCCTCCTTATCCACCGTATCACCCTTCCTCAAGGGCCTCCGGAATCCCGCCATCTCCAGCCTCTGGGCGATGTGGTTGCTCTCGGTTTCCCCGGCGGGCGGCAAGCAAAGTGGCTGCACAAAGTCCGAGAATATTACGTTCTCAACCAGTTTGGCCAGTCCGAAATTGTAGTCATCCAATCTATTGTACCCGGGGTGCACCACTAGCTCCTCGATGTCCACCCTCTGCGGTGGTGGAGAGCACTGGGCGGTTATTCCCTCCACGAGGCAGTCACCCACTGTAATGTCCTTGTTTTCGCGCCAATCCCCGAACACAATGAACGATGCAAGGTTATCCAGTATGCAAAACGCGTTAATAATTGCATATCGCCGGTGGATTAGCACCGAAAAGCAACTAAACTCTGTTCTATTTCCGTAGACATAGCCGACACGACCAATCCAGGTGTACTCATCCGGTGCAGTGATCTCTTTCCGGTTGTAAAGCTGGCTTTCTCGTAGTTTTCCGCAGTGGTGTCCATAAATGGCTAAAAAATAGGAGATCCATAAAACGAAATGTGACCTTTTTAAAATTTATATTTTACTTAGCTATTAAATATTCATTAACATGAGCATCTAGTTAAACGTGTAACTTACGCAATAAGAAAGCGGGAAATACTCCGAGTATAAAATAGAGAATCATATTCTAGCGAGCTGTAATCCGAACTGAGGTTCGATCGGTTTAATCAATGCTTTTCATACTGGTTTTTAAGCTTTGAACTTTTGTAACTAGAATTCCCAGAATAAAAGCACAACTTAACAAGGTGAGAAAGTCGTGACGATCTCGTTTTAAAATTGCTTCTCATTGAAATTACACAGAGATAATAAATAAAAGCTTCATCTTGGCTGTCATTACCCGAAATCCATTTGCCGCCATTATTCCATTTGGATCCATTTAAATCCATTTGTAATTATTCGGATTAAATCAAAAGTTTCAAAACTAATCGAGGTCCATGTTTTTTAAAATCCAGTTCCTGAATGGCAAGATGCTCGTGAATAAGTGCAAGCTGAGATAGGAAGGGTGTCCAAGTAGTTGAATGGTAGCTGGTAAACCAACTAAGTAGAAGTTCCGGGGTTTCCCATCCACCACTTCGATGCCCATTAGCGGGGATCCGAAGTAAAGGGTTTTCTCCTCTTTGCCGAGGGCACACAGATAATTCTGTGTCAGATTTGGCCAGCCATTTTTGCCTAGCGAGCGGCAGAAGTCCATACTGGTCGTGTGCACCTGCACCTTCCTCCGCCACTCGCCATCCTTATCCACCGGATCTCCCTCCCTCAAAGGTCTCCGGAATCCCGCCATCTCCAGTCTCTGGGCGATGTGGTTGCCCTCGGATTCCCCGGCGGGCGGCAAGCAAATGGGCTGCACAAAGTCCGATAACTCTACGTTCTTCTCCAGTTTGGCCAGTCCGATATTATAGTCATATTGTCCATCGTATTTGGGGTGCACGACTAGCTCCTCGATGTCCACCATCTGCGGTCGTGGCGAGCACTGGGCGGTCATTCCCTCCACGAGGCAGTCACCCACTGTAATGTCCTCGTTTTCGCGCCAATCGCCGAAAAGAATGAGCGCTGCAGTGCCACCCCGTATACAATGGGCGTTAAGAACTGCATATCGCTGGTGGATCAGCACCGAAAAGCACTTAAACTCTGTTCTATTTTCGTAGATATAGCCGACACGACCAATCCAGGTGTACTCATCGGGGGCGGTGATCTCATTCCGGTTGTAAAGATGGCTTTCCCGTAGTTTTCCGCAGTGATGTCCACGAATGGCTAAAAAATAGGATATCCAAATAACAAACTGTGACATTTTTCAAACTTATATTTTACTTAGATATTTTTGAACTATTAAACGACCCGTCTAACAAATAATAATTAACATAAAAATCTAGTTGAACGTGTAACTTACGCAATAGGATTGCGAACAATACTCCGAGTGTAAAATAGAGAATCATATTCTACCGAGAGGTAATCCGAACTGAGGTTCGATCGGTCTAGTCAATGCTTTCCATACTAGTTAAGCTTTGCACATTTGTAACTAGAATTCAAATTTTAAAAGCACAACTTTACTGGTTAAGAAAGTCGGTACGATCGCTTTTTAAATTGCTTCTCATGAAAATATACAATAAATTAAAAGCCCAACAAATGAATAGCCACTTTTTGAATCATTTATCCTTCTCACAAACTTCAGCAAGTCAAATCCCATGATAAATCCATTAGTTCTGGGCCTGGCATAGACCATTTAAACATTTTATATATAATTACACCATCATTATTAAGTCTCTTCGGGGTCCTGGACGGAAATCCCCCAGTGACTTGAACCATTAACAATGCCATGGAGCTGTCACCTACAGGGCAACCGGGAAGATCAACCCTTAAACTAAATGCGCAGTTTTCTTTGAATGGAAAATTCACAGTTTCCCAAGAAAGCGATTCATTGAAGAGTGAAATAGCCGTAGAGCAAGGCTCTCAAAGACCTAATGAATTCAAATGAGCCACCAAAGTTCAGGGCCCAAGGCTTTCACTTACTGCGATTGAGGATTTCGTGCCGCATTAATTAGGGGAACCACTTACATCGTTTCTGATGGCTCGCAGTTAAAACAAGGCAGCGCTAAAATCATAACAGCTGTGACGTAACAAATGGCAGCGACGGGGGGTGCCAGGCAGCCCAGAAATCAACCACTTGAAATTCTTTTTTATGCCAGCCAGAATTGAGACATAAAACATTCCCGTGTGCGGGCTTGGGTTTCCGGAGACCCCGTCAACCCCTAATGAAGCCATCAACTCACGGAACTCACGTAACTCGCCACAGTTGCCACCGAAAGTTTCTTCCCTCGCTGCCTGCGAGTGTGTTTTTGACCATATAAGGATAACGAGAAGGGGCTTTTGATGTTGCCTAAGCATTTTCGCAAATATTTGCCCAAGGAACCAATCCATTCAGGGTGGTTCTCAAGGCACAAATTGGAAACTTTAAAGGGCTGCCAAAAGACGCAGAAAAATCCTAAAACTCAATGCGGGTCACCCCTGTGATTTGAAAAATAAAAAAGCAACAGCTATCCCTAAAAAATAAAAGACCAATGCACTTTGTGAGTGAGGACCACAACAAATAATGTTAACGAGCCCGCGGTTCGGGCGATTACAATCAGTGACAGAAGGCAAACCCAACCCCGAATACGATCTAATCTCCCAAAAACCCAGAGAGCGATTTGCAAAGTCCAGTCCCTGACCCGTTGGCGGATTTCTTTTTTCCAGGGTCCACCACCATATGGACATAAGCAATCAACGAAAATGTACTTGGGCATATGTTGAATAAAGTGCATTGAGGCAAGGGTTTTCTAATAAATCGGAGGGGAGGGGAACCAGAGCCATTAACAGTTAATTGAGTACATTTATAGCCAGCTAAAAGCCACTATAAACTGGGTGCTTGTGAGTGACAATAGGGGATTTGCTAGCTGGCTATTAATGGGCCCTCCAAAAGTTGACATTATTATAAACTAAACCAGTTTGAAGACAACATCAAATACAAGAGCTATTAAAAACTTTCGATTTCTAAATTTAAAGCCACATGCATCTCACGTTTTGACCAGTCTTATACACCGACATCGAATTTCGAACATTCCATTGATAAGAAGTAGTTTGGCGGCCGATGTTCAACTGGCTCGTTGGTCTAGGGGTATGATTTCCGCTTAGGGTGCGGGAGGTCCCGGGTTCAAATCCCGGACGAGCCCAAGTAAAATACATTTTTTTTTAATTTTATTTTTTTTTATTTAAGATTATGGTAAATGTTGTTACTGTACCTTAATAAGTTCCTTGCCTATCATTGCTTATCTGGTTTAAGTATTTATGTCTTTTCGTGTGTAAATATGCTGATGTAAATATATTTGGCCTTGTTGTTTAATGATGCGCATACATATTGGACAATATTATTATTTAAAATTCATCGTATTTCTCTTTAAAAAAAAATAGTAGCTTGGTCAACATTTTACAACTGGCTCGTTGGTCTAGGGGTATGATTTCCGCTTAGGGTGCGGGAGGTCCCGGGTTCAAATCCCGGACGAGCCCAAGGAAGATATATTTTTTATACATTTTTATTGAGAATTTATTATTATTACAACATTTGTCTGTTGTATCATTTATTCATGCCACGCCGATGTGATGTTTACTCATATTGCTGGAAAAAAGCTTGCTTTAATACACATTTAACAAGCCAATGAGTAACAAGCAGAGTCAACCGTGTTTCAATGATATTCGATCGTTCAAGTAATAACAATTATTCAGTTCCAGGCCAAATTGGCCAAGGGTAAGCCGAGTCGGCTCAATTACAAATCCATCCGAGAAGGAGAGGAGACAATGCAGCAGACGGATTGTCAGACGGGAGTCGCAGACACCGCCGACAGGAGCATTCAACTGCATGTGTCTGTGACTCTTTGGGGCAACTCCCAATTGAAAGCCGACGACCCATGGAAAAAGGGTGTAAGATACACTGAAAATGTAGTTTATCCTCTATATTAGACGGTTTAATTGTTTTTAAGAAACATAAATAAATTAAATAATGATCTCAATATATCATTAATTTTTTTTTAGATAAGTAACATTTAAGTACGTTTTTTTTGGTCAGTAAAATCTTTATAAATTTATAAAAACTATCATATTTCAAAGGTAAACTGGCGATTCAAAGTTTTCATGCTTTTAAAAGTAAACCCGTTTGAAGACATCAACAAATACAACATCCATTAATTCAAAGCCACATGCATCTCACGTTTTGACCAGTCTTATACTCGAATTGGAATTTCGAACTCTTTTTTGATAAGAGGTACTTGAGCGACCGTTGTTCACCTGGCTCGTTGGTCTAGGGGTATGATTTCCGCTTAGGGTGCGGGAGGTCCCGGGTTCAAATCCCGGACGAGCCCAAGCAGTGTAGATTTTTTAGTTTTACAATTTTTGGTTTATTACCTAACACTTATTGTTGATAATTTCAATATATCTTAAACATTTTTAAATATACTTAAATAAGGTATGATGATGGAGATGATTTAATTTGCCGCCCGATTGTATGAAAACTGTAATTTCTCGGATTAAATTGAAAGTTAAAAACTAATCGAGGACCATGTTTTCTAAAATCCACTTTCTGAAAGGAAAAATGCTCGTGAAAAAGTGAAAGCTGAGATAGGAAGGGACACCAAGTAGTTCCAAGGTGGTAAACCAACTAGGTAGAAGTTCCAGGGTTTCCCATCCACCACTTCGATGCCCATTAGCGGTGATCCGATAAAAAGGGTTTCTTCCTCTTTTCCCAGGGCACATAGATGATTCTGTGTCAGATTTTAGCCAGCCCGTTCCCACTAAGGATAATAAATTAAAAGCTTCTCTGTACTAACTTTTCTCTGTGTAGCTCCGGTGAATGAATTTTATGCATTGGAAATTAACACAACAAACTTTTTGGCTTGGCTGACCAAGCAGACACCGGCAGACCAAGAGCTCATGGCTGTCATTACCCGAAATCCATTTGCCGCCCCCCGGGGCTCCAGGGGGCTTGGCAGGCAGATCTCTTTCGCATTGTAATAATACGGCCCTCAACCCGGCACCCCCACCCCCACCCTCACCCATTCCAGTCCATGTATCCGATTGCAGTCCATAACAGCTGGAAGCACGTAAATCTCATTGTTTCGATGCGTTTTGCATGCGTTTGAAGTGTCTGGTTGTCGATTCCGATTTCGATTTCAATGCCGGCGTCTGCCCCAATCCTGTGCCTCCCCGCCCCTTAGCATCCCAATTCCCCTGCCCCAAGAAGGCTGCATTTGATAGCCTGACTCTCCGCATGAGGAGATACTTTTCGTAATGCATATTGCGATACCCATTGAGGATGAGAGGTCTTGTGGTTGGGTTAATCTTTAAACGGAAAATCTAAACTTTAAATACAGTTAAATTTTCTTTAATATCGAAACAATGTATTTATTTCATTTCATAACATTAATTAATCTTAAGAAATTATGAAAAGCTTTATATTTAAATCTTAATTTTTGTAACTTTATATATTTTAATTTCGTTCATATTTAATGTAATCGGTATTTTCGTATTCGCTGCCAAGCCGCTTTAAACATTTCTTATATGATTTTTTCACTGACAAATACATCACAGCAGCTGGCGGGGGGTTAAATAAAGCCTGCGGTTTCGGCACTCGGCGACAAAGAGGAACAACTCGCTTCACTCCTCAACAGCAGCCTGAAGGCTCTGCAATTGACTTGAACTCGTGGCGCATCAATTGGGTGTGTATATATTGGGTGAGTCCACTGAGAAAAAATTTTAGGTCAAATTAAATACCCTTTCATTTGCGCCTCCGATTTTTATACAATTTTGTATACAAATTGTATACAAATTGGATTTGTATACAAATTGATTATAATCAATTCCTAAAAGTTTATGAATAAAAAAATAGATACAAACATTTGTGAATAAAATAAAATATTTACAACAAATGTACGGTAGGTAGGTAGGTACCATTTCAGCTATGCGATAATTTCATAAAATAATCTTCCATCTAAAAACAATTTTCTTAATACCAGACAAACGAAAGAATCTTCAAATAAATGTGAAATATTCCTTTAAAATATATTGGAATTACTATTTTTGCTCCATTACATAAATTAACAATCGTTACTATAATTTTTTAACTAAAAAATAATTAAATTAATATTATGAGCAATTAAAATAAATCGATTTTTCTCCATGTGCATTGGGTTTGTTGTGTGTGGTACTTCTGTTGTTGCTGGGCTGCGGTTTGGGTGATTTTTATGATGAGGCCCCCGGGCAACGGAGGACAAGGCTCGATTCGGTTTTGATTGCCCTGCCGGAAACGGTGCTCAGGTTACGATTTAGCAGCGATTTAGCCGAGCGTGAAATGGCAACTGCAGCACTTAACCACATAGCAACCGGCAACGGTGACACCAGCACAAACACCAGATGCCGCCGAGCTTTTATCACCTTTTTTTGGGGCGAGTGT